TGCTACTGCAGAGGGAATTGGCTTCCCCCAGCAAGGAGGAATCTATTTGCAGGCAAGAGCAAGCCAGAGCGCACAGACCTGTTTGGGAACAGAGGGGTGAATAATCCGCTTCCAGGCAAATACTCCTGTGAAACACCCGTCGCTTCCCTGATAGGCCCTGGCCACCCTCACCAGTGCTGGGAGGGCCCAGGAATGGCTTTGCTAGCCGGGATTCAATATGCACAGTGGGGAATTGTGCTCCAAGGGACATGGCACCCCAGCCTGGGGGCTGGCAGCACCAGGATGAGGGCAGCTGAGTCTCCGGGCTCCCAGGAAGCCATGGCTTGCCAGCTGCCTGCTCACTGGGGCACAGAGCAGCCAGCCAAGGTGACACAGCCCTGCGCTCGGGGCACTCGTGGCTGTGCTGACTCCAGGCAGGCAGCGGCCCCCTGCCCAGCCAGCATCCCTGCCCGAGGCACCACCAGCTCGCTCCTGTGTGCAGGGTGCGCTGCCCTGGGAAAGGCAGCGGTGCCAGGCAGGTGCATTCTGGCAGCAGGACAGCCCAGAGCGGGATGTGGGCACCAGGAGTGAGGACCTGCTGGCCTGATAGGAACGGGAGCGACCTTACCGTGTAGGACTGCTGCAACCACCCGGACCCGTCACGCCGTGCTGGACCCCAGGGCTGCGGGAGATGGGAGCGTGTCCCCAAGCCAGAGGAGCTGAGGGGGTGTGAGAAAACCCTGGATCCTCCCATGACTTCCTGGCCCACGCGGCCCCTCCCTGCCCACAACAATGCTGAGCTTTCCTCCCGCCTGCCTGGCACAGCCCTGGGGCCGGCACCGCTGAGTCAGGCCTCCTGCACCCTCATTATCCTCCTTGGGCGTCCGGGGAGGCTGAGGCGCAGGAACGTCCGGTCCTGCATCACACGGCCCAGCAGCAGCCAGCACAGAGAGGGGACCCTGGAGTCCAGGCACTGCAGGGGCTGCTCTCCCAGTCTGCAGTTCTGGTCTCCAATAGCTGTCCCAATGGGAAAACTCTGGGCTGGGACGGCATGAGGGTTTTTGGGGAGGCAAACATGCACCTCAGAGGTGGGGGAGTAGGGAACGATGTTCCCAGGATACCCTCCTCTCTCTCCAGCCCCTGACATCCACTTGGGACCTTGAGTCCCAGGCCCTGGTGGAGGCTATGTCCCCTCTGTGGCCCGCGAAGCACCCAGTGGGCTCAGCTTACACAGCCCCAGCTCTGTCCAAGGTGTCGCAGCGCAGCTGCTTCTTGCTTACGCAGGCTCAGAGCTGTGTCTGCCTTCCCCGAGACATGATGTTCCAGCCCGGAGGTTACTGGAGGAGCAACCTCCGGGACAGCGGCAGGCTCAGGCAGGAGGAACTCCTCATCCATGGTGTCACAGGGGTCAGGGCAGCCCCCTGCCCCTTCCCATAGGCATAGCTGCATTTGCCTCTGGGAAGGGCAGCCCCCAGCAGCCGGAATGTGCTCTGGAGGCTTTGCTCCTGACGGAGGCTTGCGGGAAGCACTTCAGCAGCAGATAAGGAGACGTCAAAGCCCGAGGGGCTCCAGGGCTCCCCCACCCCTAGCAGATGCATCTCCTAGTGGGGAATGAGAGTCCTCCAACTCGCTTCACGTGCTGACTGGGAGTCACCGGCCAGGACGCACACTGCCATCATGCTGCTGACACATACCCGCCTGGCTACAAAACCTGCTACTCATCCCCCCTGTCAGGCCACCCCCAAGGCAGCAAAATGCCAAACCCATGGGGAGTCCTGATGTACGAACCATTGCTCTGAGGTCTGTGGGTGGAAGAAAAGAAGGGTCCCTGGGGAAGCTCCCCAGAGGGCACACAGCAAGCAGCTTCTCCCCAGGGTTGCACCCAGCTGAAGGGAAAGGGGGAGATTCTGGCTGGGTCCCCCTTGCAACCTCTCAGGCTCTGATCTGTCTTTGCTGGCATCCCCATGGTGGTCCCATCACTCACCTGTGTGTGCGCAGTGGGGCAGATGGACAAATGGTGACTGGTCACAGGGGCAAGGCTGGCATGGCTGCAGGCGAGCGGCTGGTCAGGAGCATGGCCGTGGGCCTCGGCGAAGGGGAGGCGATCCTGCCTCCTCGGGCGCTTCCTCTGTGGCCGGAGCAGAGGGAGCGATGCAGACACCCCACAGCTTGGCTCCTGCACCCCCCAGGGACTGAGTGAAATGGCCTGAGGGGGCTGTGCTGGACGGCCACAGGGTTGTGTAAAAAACGCCATGGCACAAATTCATGGCTCAGGTTACCGGCTAGATAAATATAGTGTCTTTATCTGACCTCGCAGGGCGCCGAAATGCTCCTCTCGCATTCCAGTTTCAGGAAGGCTTAAAGGGGACGTGAGCTCTGAGGGCTGGTGGCCCACGGCAAGGGGGTGCTGGCCAGGGCGGGAGCTGGGGTCAGGAGTGCTGCAGAAACAAGGAGGAATGCCTGGAGGTGAGTACAGGCAGAGGTCTGGGGAGGGAGATGTGGTCCAGGGGATAAAAGCTGGTCTCAGAGAGAAGGGGAAGCCCATGGTGGCCAGCAGCCCATGGCCACCAGGAGGGTCAGAAGCAGAGCAGCGAGGTGAAGGGAGGACATGGTCTGGGTTTTGCTTGTCTTGGAGCAAGCCATGGTGGGAAGAGCCTCCCGAGGCTAGCACCAAAGGTGGGAGCAGATGCACCCTGCACTGTGTCCCAAGCCTGGCTTTTCCAGAGTGGCACGGGACACCCCACACACCAGCACTTAGGTAGGCCGTGACTCAGGGAGCGCCTGCCATGGATAATTAGGTGGGATGAAATTACGCTGGCATTTTCCTCCCTGCTGCCTGGGAACAGGGAGGGCTGTGTTAGCGTCAGGGCCAGGGCGTAGCTGCTTCACGGTGCTGTGGGGTCACGGCAGCATTGGCACTGGTGTTGGGAACCTGCTCCCAAACCCCAGACAAGCATGGGTTCTCCATCCCTGTCCCCCTGCGCAGTGCCTGAATCCAGAGCGGGCAGCACTGTGTAGCTGCTCCCAGCTGTTTCGAGGCCGGGGCCATGGGCAGAGTGTGCACACCAGCAAGCACGTCAGCAAGAATGTGGCAAGGGTGCCAATGTGCCTGTAAGCCCAGCCCCACTCTCACAAGTGCCCATGGCTTTGGTGTCAGTGGTTCCCTCCCTGGAGGATGTGCCCCAAGCACTGGCACGCACTGCCCTTTGTAGCCCAGCCACCCTGGGCTGCCGGGATGGAGACTCCCTCCCCAGGACCCTTCGGAAGTGCCAGGCTGGTGTCTCGATAGGCAGGACCATGCGTCCGGGGACGCCCACTTACCCGCTTCGCCCAGGTCCCAGCGGCACCAGCGCCCTGCCACGCGCCGGAGCGCTGGCCCCGAGCTCACAATGGGGCCGGAGTGAGGGCTGAGGTCCCCACCAAGGATGGAAGCCTGGGCTGCTCCAGCCCCTCTGTCCCTGTGGGGCTGGGAAGGCCTCTGTGGAGGTGAAGGCTGCCCCATGCCAGCAAGGGGCCCAGCGCCCCGCTACAAGTGTGTTCTGTCCCTTCCCTCCCTCCCGGCGAGGGCTGAGCCTCACCATGGCCCTGCACCCCATAGATACGCGGCTCCAACACATGACCTAGGGTTTTATTGTGCAGACAGAGGAAAACTCTTGAAATATGGGTTTCTCATTGCTTCTGGTAGGGTTCCTTTTCTTTTTCTTTTTCTCTTTTTTTTTTTCTTTTTTACCCCCCTTTGACAAAGTTTCTTTGACAATAAGCTGTGGGAACAACTACAAATGTTCACAAAAAAAATGAGGCTGGAGATGCACCTGCGCGCTGCGAGCCGGGCTCGGCGCCTGCCGCGGCACTCACCAGTGAGCCTGGCAGGGAGCCCTGGCCGTGCAGGGCCTCGACAGCGCTGCGTGGCAAGCAAGCAGGCAGGGCCAGGGCCAGCTGGAGCCAGGCGTGTGGAGGGAAGCGAGGAGGGACCAGCAGCTGGCGTGGAGGGCTCTCTGTCATCTCATCATGCGGGGAAAGCTCACTGCCCTCCCTGCCCCGCTCTCAGGGACATCCTGGCCTAGCTGAAGCCATGGTCAAGAGTGGAGCTGCCCATAAGCCCTATGCTGTTCGTTGTTGCAGACACGGAGATGCCAAAATGTCCAAAGGGAGGAAGTGATCAGGGGGTATGGACTCCAGAGGAAGACTGCACTGGAGGAAGGCTGCCCTGAGGGTGCCCAGGGCCAGGCATGAGGAGGGATCAGGACCATCAGGTGTTTCCTACAATGCCATCAAGAAAGACTTTCAGAGGAGGGTAGACCAGCTTCCCTGGGAAGGGAGATCTGGGGTCATGGTCCCTCAGGGGAGCCCTCTGAAGCCACCAGCCTGGCCAGCTCCTGCAGGGAGCCGCTAGCTTAGAGTCTCTGCTAGCCTCTGCCACAGACGGTTGCTGGCAGCAATTTCCCTTGTCACAGCTAAGGCCTGGTCTCAAGGGAGAACAAGTGGTAGATGCCTCAGACTTCGGCAGCCCAAAGTACCAGATGATGCCTGGAGGCCTCGTTTCCAGCTCAGCAGGGCAAAAAAAAGATTAGGAGAAACTCAATTCCAATTCACTGCACCCAGCCCAGACACCCCTCTGCATCCCCTCGTGCCCTCTCTCTCTTACCTTCAAGTCTGTCTGTCTTTCTTCAGGTGAAAACAGGCAAAAAATGGCAGGTAAAGGGATGGGAGAAGCTGGTGGTGTGGGGCCAGTGCCCACAGCGGGAACACAGCAGCCGAAGCAAGCTCAGGGCAGTGGGATGGGAGAAGCAGCACTGCTGAGCAGGGCCGCCGTGCACGGGCTCAGGGCAGCGCACGTGAGCGCACTGTGACAGGTCTTGGCACAAGACAGGGGTTAGCATTAGATATACAGCTATATAGAGATAACATAGAGGTTGCATTTGTTTCACATCGCTTGGCTTCTCTTTCCAAGGGCCACGTTCCAGCGGTGGGGAGCGGGTTTGCTGGCGGGGGTGCTCTGTGGGTATGACTGTGTGTGTGCATGCGAGTGTGTGCGCTTTTCCTCTCACAGGGACACGAAGTCCACGGCTTGCAGGAGAGGCAGGGAAAGGAGAAGCAGCAGGAGCCATGAGGTGTTCTGGATCAAGAGGCTGAAGCCGGCGCATTTCTCCAGTTTGTCTGTGAAGAGGGGAAAGGGGAGGGGAGAGAGGAGGAGACATGAAATCCCCTTGTAGAAGGATGGATGTTTTAAGTTGTTTTAAGGGGGGCGGAGCTCACATGCTTGCCTGCTTTCTGCTGTGGATGTGCAGCAAATCCCGGCCAGACCCATTGCTCTCAGTTTCCCCTCCTATTTTGTCCCACTGGGATAGCTTTTGGGGACATGCAGAGCCCAGGGAACATCAAGTCCTGCCTCTGCCTGAGAGAGATGACAAGGCAAGACAAGGAGCTCTGCAACTGGAGGACTGGAGACAGATTGAAATGGGGCTGAGTGGGGCTACCTATATGAGTGGCTGCTCTGCTGTCTTGAATATGGACATATAAGGCTTGGAACATATGGGCAGGGCTCTGGGAAGATTTAGGGACATCTCATGGGGTCCCAGACTTCCTTGCTGGCATTGTCTACCTAAGAGGCAGGTGGAAAAGAGGGTCTGAACAGGAGCCAGAGTCCAGGCACTATCGCCAAACTCACCTTTGATGACAGTGATGTTCTTTGTTTGATTGATGGTGTAGTCGTTGGTGGCCCTCAGTCCACACATGTAGACGCCCTCATCACTGGTGGTGAAGCTCTGCAGGTGGAGGCACACCAAGTTCCTGTGCATGGTGACATTGGCCCGGTTCCGGTAGGCGTTATCAGGGACGCTTATGGTGCTCTGGATGACTTGCTTCCTGTTGTCCTTGGTGATGCTGAACTCGTAGGACAGGGGGTTGCTGGTTTTGTTCTCATAGTGGCAATCCACCCGCAGGTTCTGGCCCAAAAGGCAGGCCTTCAGGTCCTTGATCATCTGGCAATGGGTGGCCTGGAGGACTGGGAAAGGCAAGCAGGAGTCAAATGGGGAGCGGTGAGCACTGGGGAGGGTCATGCAACCTCCCTAGTACCGAATACCACTCTGGAGAGATGTCAGCTGGGTTGCCCCTTCCCCAGACACCTTGTGCGCGTCCCACTCCAGGACGTCCTGCACCCCTGTGTGTGGGACTCAGGCACCCACTCTGTGTGGGGAATGCCGCAGCCCTGCTCCCGTGGCTCTGGGTGCTGCTGCATGCATCTGGTGAGTCAGGGCCAAGGTTGCTAGATGGCAAGAAAACGTCTGTCACCCACTGGCCATACCTGTCAGGAAGATGGTGATGCCAACGATGGGATTCATCTCTGCGTCAAGGTGCCCAGAGGCTGCTGCCGGTAAGAAGGGGGCCTGGGCAGAGAGAGGAGGAGGCAGTTAAGTAGGGCCATGGCCCCAGCACAGAGACACAGATGTGCACTAGCAACCACACACGACAAGGGTGGGCAGACAGCCTCTTCCCACACAAGCTCTGGTGCATTGCCTGCTTCTCATCATGATAAAAGATCCTCTGAGTAAAAGACAAGCTGGCCTTGCCAGGGAGCTAGGGAATAGGGCGTAAGGGTCTGGCTCCCATCAGTTTTCATATCCTTAGGCAATGCTTTCCCTGTCTGGATCCCCCACACTAGGCATTAAAATAGCAGGGCATGGACTTGCAGCTGCCTGCACTGAGGCTGGAGCCTTCAGCCCTCCCTCTGTCCCTCATCCCCATGGGATGCCTGGTCAAGGGATGGCGAAGAGGTGCAAGGATGTGTCTCATGGCCTACACATCATGGCTGGGCTGCCGTGGCTTCCATCTGGCACGGTGCTGGCTGAGGGACCCTCCCTGTGTGTCAGGCCGGCCAGCCCCTCCAGCCGCGGCACTGGCGGGTGAGCTCAGCAGAGATGACTCATTGCAATGCAGCGAGGGAAAGGGGCCAAGAGCAGTGAGGACGAGGACGGAGGAGGAGGCAGCCAGACAGGGAGCCAAGTCTGCCAGAGGATGGCACCAGGTCTCCAGGGGCTGAGCTAAGCTCCACGAGCCCGGGGGAGGAAGTGTTTTGGGGTGGCAGGGTTCTCTGCTCTGTGATCCTGGTCTGCAGCCCAGCTGTCTCCAGGCTGCCTTGCGGTCTGTGATGGTGAGGCGCCCATGGATTTACTGTCAAAATCCCAGGGCTGCTGGCAGCCTCAAACAGCTGAGTGGAATCAGTTAAAGGTTTGCAGCTCAGCCAAGCAATTGCACAGGGAATGCAGCCGCAGACATGCAGAGAGGAGGAATAGGGCGGGGGAACAAGAGAGCTGAAACTGGAGCTGAAGGACAAATGGCTCCAGTCAGCCCTCCAGCCTGAGGAATATGTGCCTAGGTTCAGACCTTCAGCTGTCAAGCAGAGAGGAGGACAGACACCCATTTTGCCCATCTGAACCTGACTAAGCATCCAGGGAGGAGGTGGGAACTGCCTGTACTGCAGTCGGTTGGATTTTTCTATTTTGCGTGTTTGCGGTTTTTCATGTAACATTTGAACAGGAAATACCAAGCTCATTTGCTCACTGCAAAGCTGTGGAAGATCTCAAAATCCACAACCCCCAACCCAAACCAGGAATATAAATTACCTCCGGTTCCATCTTAATGAGCAAGAGATTTTCTATGGAGGACAAGGACATATGGGAGGCGACTGTGTGAGTCTCCTTCAGATTCCTAAAAACTGGCCCTTGCCCTAGCTTTCTCATCTCCAACCTACATCTCCTCAGACAATGCGGAACATCCTCTAGGTCACAAACAGCTTTTTCTCCAGAAAATCACTGCAAATGAGCTCCTAGAGAGGGGAATTTCTTTCCATCTATGTACAAAAGGAATTGGGCCTTCTAGACTTCATGCCCTTGGGTGCCCTGAGCCCCTTCTGTCCTCTTGCATGAGGTAATAGGAGCAGGGCTAGCCAGGTAGCCCTTACTCTCACCTGATCCCCTGGGGCTTTCGGCAAGGATAGGACCCCCAGGGATGGCTGCATTGGAGCCACTCCTGTTTTTGCAGAGAAAAGCCTTGCACCATCAAGGTGCCTCATCTGCCTGTGGCATCTCTGCAGCTGCACCTCTGTGCCAGCCACCTTGAGAAGCTCAAGAAAGGGAGGGAAAGGGAAACCAGGGATAAGATGGGAGGGAGTGGATTGAAAGAAATGCATTCTCCTTGGCTGTGCTGGACAGAGGCTGCTGCATGTAGGTGTGGGTAGGGGAAGAGGGGGGCTGCAGTGCATCTGCATGCATGTGTGTGCAAGTGTGTGTGTGCAGGAAGAGCTGGGCGAGCGGCAACTGCACCTGGGGCCTGCACAGGGCAAGAGGGGTCCGTGAAAGAGCTGCCTGCCTTGGGGGCAACAGACCTGCATGGGCAACGCAAGGGCATGGGACAGGCTGGTGGATAGGGATGCACACACCCAGGAGCAATGCTGCAATCCCGGCTCTTTGGGAAGCGCTCACATGCGTGCCTATGTGTGCATGTCTGTATGTGCATGTGTATGCGTGGGATGGGTACAAGCGCCAATACGGGCGAGCACCTCGGGCATCTCCCTCCGTGACCACCACCACCCTCCGA